ATTGTGTCCGTTGACAAACTTAAAATTGATACAAATTATACCACCGAGTAAAAATAACACACTCCGGGTTTTATATACTAAAGCCTCGTTTGCTTGCTACTATTAGGTTAGATTGACTAAAATAATGAGTTTATTTGCATTTAGAACCATAATAAATATAGTTTTCATCCCTCAAATTTGCACCGATTTCATATTTGGTTCCTCATGTTCATAAAAAATGCATTTGGTCCCTCGTGTTTCAAAAATTCAACATTTTAAGTCATTTACGTCAATTTTCCGTTAGTACTAACGGAATCAAGCATGCGTCCATCACCGCCTTAACTGATGGACTAACGTAAATTGACGAAAATGACCAAAAGTGTTAAATTATTGAAATATGAATGACCAAATATGTTTTTTGTGAACATGGGGAACCAAATATGAAATTAGTGCAAATTTGAGTAGTGAAAAATGTAATTTTCTCATTTGTTGTTATATCCAATTCCTAAAAAAATTCCATGTTATAAACATTAGCAAAAAATCAATTATGATGCATTTTCTTTTACCATACAATCCCCTGTATCAGTGTATGGTGAGTTTTTAGGGATATATAGTTTGCTAAAAACTAATTGCATCATATGATCATAGGGATATTTTGGTAATATTTACTATATGAAGAGTTCTTTTAGCAATTAAACTAAACCCTGGGTCGCTGAATGCAATAAGCAGAACAAATAACAGCATTAACAAAATTCTCATGTCAATTCTAAGGCAATAATATATATATATATATATATATATATATATATATATATATATATATATATATACACACACACACACAAAGAAGATCTTACAGTTTTGAGGTGAGTTAAGCTTTCGAAAGATGGCTCTTCATTCCCGAAAACTCGATTGACCTCTTCTCTTGCTCGGGTTTGCCAACCGGGATTTTGGCACAACAATACCATAGACCACACGAGCAAACTAGCCGTCGTCTTTGACCCCGCAAAGTAGAAAAAATTGCACTCGTCAATGACATCATCGATACTCATCCCGACAACATTCTTGTTTCCGTTATTGTCTTCATTAATGAACCTTGAATTCGATTCCATAAGAGCGCCTAACAAGTCATTAGGCATGGCTTCACCCCTCTCCATGGCTTTTTGTCTTTTGTCGACTATACCCTTTAGCAACAATTGGAGTTCATTGTTCATTGCTTTCAGTCTCCTGTTTAGTTTCGTCGGAAGATATCTAATAATAAAAATAATAAGTTTTTGCTGATGATAATTTTGTGCTCGTAAAATCAGCTGATCATAACCCCCTTTTTATTGATAAGGGGTAAAGTTCGTTTATTTTTCCTTCAAATTTAACTGTGTGTGTCAAAGTTCAAAGGAAGAAATGCAAGCACAGTGGGGTTATCTGCAAATACTTAGATTTTTTATGTATGACAAAATATAGGTAAGTTTAACGGAAAAATTAACGGACGCTAGCTCTATCAACCACAAAGCGGTTACGAACGGGGGCGAGTGTTAGGCAAGGGTGGACTCATGCCCACCCTCAATTTACAATTTCTCCCTCTATATTATACTATATATCTATTTAGCTCACCCAATTTTTATTAATTAGCTCATCCAAAATTTAAATTAATGCAAAAGAAGCCTAATTTTTTATTAATTAGCCCACTCAAAATCCAAATTAATACAAAAAAAGGCCCAGTTTTTATTAATTAGCCCACCGAAAATCCAAATTAATGCAAAAAAATTCTAAATTTTTTTCTTCTTTTTTCCTGTTCCTATTTTATGATTTTATCACAAAAAAATCCTAAAAAAATTTCGGAAGCGCTGCCCCCGAACCCCATAAAATTTAAGCCCACCTGTAACAAATTTCTTGACTCGCCACTAGTTATGAACTTATATTACGAGCACAAAGGGTCATCTGCGAAAGCTTATAACCACAAGGGGATTAACTACTATGTTACCCTTTAATTAAATAATGTACTTTCATAGTAATTAATTAATTTTATTTTACCTCCATCCCGGTATCATAGTCAACTGAAAAATTTCGAGAGTTAGCTCAGTTTTGTCTCTATGGAGCTGAAATATCCTTTTTCCTTCTTCGTTGCTGCTGCCAAACGCTGTGCGCGAAATTACGTCTCCGGTTAAATCTTCAAGATCCGGCCATACATCGATTTCGCTGCAACCTTCATTACTACTCGAAACTATGGCTTTCCACTTTTGTAAAATGCTTGAGCAACTTAAACCAATTAGTGGCACCATATTCTATAAAAAAAAAAAAAAGCCACACACAAAAAAAAAAAAAAATTATTTATAAAATGAAATCGAGCCAAACCAAAAAAAAAAAAAACAGAGTGTCGTTCAATCTTCGTACCTTCAACTTGTCGATATGGAAAGCGGGATTGATAATTTTTCTATGTTTAGCCCATTTTTCGTCTTGAAGAAACGCGATCCCACCCGTAAGAATCTTGCCTGTTTCCGGAAGTGGCTGTTGAAAAGCATCCGGTCTACTTAGAATCTCCTTTATTAGCTCCGGATCCGCAATGTTCAATCTCGGCCACGGACCGAACCACAAGAAAGAATTCTTACCTGAAAAAAAAATAATAATAAAAAGAAAATTGAGTAAATATAATAATAATCAACGTAACGTGAATATGAATTATCGCTACGTACCGTACTTAGCAACGGTCCGGTAGTAATACCCGAAAACGTGCGGTGAAGTATCGTCTGAGAGATTGATTGTTTTCCGTTTATCTGCTTCGTTGAGTCTCACCATATTCTTTACGTCTCCAAGAAAGGGCCGGTAAGGAGTGCCATTGAGGCCTTGTTGCCTTAGAATTTTTTCGAGCTCTCTTGGCTTAAACCACAGCCAATTTACTAACTTCACTGCCCATTTTGCGCATATGGCAACGATGATAGTGGTGACGATTATTACACTAAATGTTGAATCCATTTATTCTGGCGGAAATAAATTATGATAAGACTAAGGATATGCACGTTTATATAGGTGAGAGTAGTGTGAAAAAGAAATTATTTCTAGGATTATTTACCAAACAGAAGTTCCTTGCATATAATAATGGGGTTTTTTTTGCAAAAACCACCCCTGTGTAGGGTAATCTTGAATTGCTGGAAAAACTCTCGTGTTAAAAAAAATTAGCAAGATCCCCTCTATGAAAATTAGTCAAAGACAACAAGGCCCCTAACAGCTTATCGTGTGCTGCACACGCGGATTGTGCGGCTGGGAGTGTATTTTGAACTCAAAAAGACCAAAATACCCATTAAATTATAAATTTCAAAATTATAGAATCACCCCAAAATTAAGTTTTCAAAATTTGCAATTCAGTCCTTCACATTTTCAAAAAGGCCATCTCCGGTGTCTTCCTGACCAAAAAAGGTCATGGGAAGAGAGCCACGGTCACCATCGTAACCGCCTCCACCATGTCCGCTGCCATAACCACCTCCCTCACGACGTCCATATCCACCATCGTCGCTACCGGGGACCTTTCAATTGCTGTTAGACGGTAGCTCTCCGACGTGTGCAGTGGTGGATGCACCATTTGAGGAATTTGATAGAGAGTTGTTTGGGTTTGAGTTTGGGTTTGGGGGTGGGAGGTGTGTTCGTTTGTTTTCTTTTGGGATTTTGTTTTCAAGTTTTTTATTTTTTGGGTTGGATATATTTATTTTTGTTTTAATTTTAATTAAGGGTAATTTTGTCATTTCATCTAAGTCAACAGCTAAAAAACGAAAAAGGGACAGTGTGCTTTGTAAAATATAATGCAGGTGGATTCTTGCTAATGTTTTTAACACAAGGGTTTTCCAACAATTCAAGATAATGAGAGATTTTTATGGTTAGCTTCTGCATTTTATCTTCATTATTGATTTATACATACATTTATGTTTATAATATAGGGGTTGTTTCGGTACGGTTATCTAATATTTTTTTCAAAGTTGTGTACCTACGATATCTTGTGGTATTGAAAAATGTCATGTTGTTGCCTTGCAAATAGTTGCGGTATATTTACCGTTACTCGGTACAATACGTACTAATATATTTTCGGTACGCGGTACTTTACCATTTACATTATTGATGAACTCCAACATTACAATAGGAATGTCACTAAACAATACTATGTCATAAATTTAGGAAAATATATTATTGATAATATTACTTTCGGTACAATATAATATGTACCGGCCGTACTCTACCATTTACATTATTGATGAACCCTATACTATAATAGGATAAAATAAAGGAAAGAGATTACTAATTCTTATTTAATTACTCTATGTGAAAACACAGTAGATTATTGATACGAGCTAATAGCAAACCTGTAATTTCTAATTGGCAAAAAAGTACTCATGTTATAAACATAGCAACAATCCTCTTGTATTTTGTTTTACAAAGCACACCGCCCCTTATCTCAAAATTGGTTGTTGACTCATATGAAATAACTAAATTATCCCTATAGAATTAATTATGGGGTCATTAGCAATAAACCCCTCATATAGATAATAAATGGTGATATGTCCACCCCTTAAATCTTTCTTTGTGATAACCCCTAGAATTTGTATTCCCAATTCTACCCTTATGTCAATTAGCATAATTAGTCTCAATTATTCCTTTTTTCTCTCTTTCCATAACAATAATCTAATTCCTAAAAATTTGCTTCCAAATTCCTAAAAATTTGCTACCAAATCAAAAAAAAAATGATTTTTATTTATTTTTTTTATTTTTTTTATTTTTTATAATTTTTGGATTTTTAGCCATTTTATTTATTTTTATTTTTTAATATTTTTTTTAAATTTTTTTTAAATAAAAAATTGAATTTTTTTTAAACAAAAAATTGATTTTTTTTTCTCGACAGATTTACAACTCCGAATATGACTATAGTTGAATTTGGCTATTATGTGACTACGATGTGTATAACAGTGTAATTAACATATTGTAGAAGCATAATTATTAAGATAACAGTAAGAATATGACTATTATGTGAATGTGACTGTGCTTTGTAAAACATTATAATTAACAGACAGTAGAAGCATGATTCTTAACAAAAACCGCGAGAATATGACTATTATGTGACTACGGTTTGTATAACAGTGACTGAACATGACAGTGAGAATATGACTATTATGTGACTAGGTTCTGCGTAATGTGACTACAAGTAATCAACACTTGAAAAAACTTGCAATATTAATAGCAAAATAAATTGCAAAAAGAAAAAAAAATGACTACAAAAAAACAAAAATAACTAATGTGATCCTTCAACAATGGCCATCGAACATGTTTTTTTGTTGCAGTATCCAACTCGGTTTGCACCGACTGCACTTAATCTTTCGTTTGATCTTCTCTGTTAAATATGACTACACTGTTGAACATATGCAACACTACAAAAAAAAAGGACAAATATAACTAAGTTGTTAAACATGACTACTCTGTCAAATATGACTACTCTGTAAAATACACTGCACTACAACCGACTAATCTCGTAATTCAATGGGTTTTCCAGATCTAAACATTCAGAATATGCAGAATAACACAAAAATTAATCAAATCCAGAATAATTGAAAATCAATGTATCCGTTCATAACAAACAAATAATAGAACTGAATTTAAATTCAGATCCATAAGATATTCTATTGCAAGTTCGATAATTAATTCGAGAAAAAAAAAATTACCAATTAATATAGTATATAATGGTATTCCGCGTTGAGAGAAGGGGAGTCTCCATGTAGAAATCACGCACCCGACGGAGGCGGCGACAAGGTGGGGGAGGCGCCGCCGCCAATTGTACCAGGCGTCGTTGTGGTGGTGTTCGACGAGGGGGAAGACGATCTCCAACATCGGCGGAGGAGGGCCTCCTGCAACGGGTTTCGGCCGGCGGCGTTTGAAGGGTATTGTTGGCTCCGGCGGCGGCGATTTACAGATCTGAAGAAGAAGGAAAAAGAAAAAAAAAAAAAAAAGAAAGAACTGTGAACAGAGAGAAAGAGCGAGAGAATGAAAGAGAGAGAGCGAGAGAATGAAAGAGAGAAATAAATAAAATTGTATTACGTTAAAAACCTAACACATAGGGGCACTTTAGTCTTATCATGGCTGGTAAGGGGGGTCTCACTAATTTAGATTGGGATGTGGGTTATGGGAAAATTCTTTAAAGTCAATTGGGTTTACTTCAAAATATTTTCTAAATAAGGGGTGTATTGCATATTTCCCCTTTTAAATATTATTTCATTTTTAAACAAACAAAATAAAATAATTATAATTAAATGTAACGAAAAGAAAAAGAAGCATGAAGACTAATTTTCACAGGGCGAATTCTTGCTAAATTTTTTTTAACATAGGGGCATTTTTGGCAATTAAAAATTTCAAATGGATAATTTCTGCAAAAAAAACACACAAATGCGAAAGAAACTTTATAATTAAATAGTTATAAATTTTATCAAATAGTATAATTTTAAGGGTAAATAACACTTAAACCCCTCTGTGGTTACAAGCTTTTGCAGATGACTCCCTTGTACTAGTAATATCAGCACATAACGCTCTTGTGGTTTAGGGGGTAGCTTCCGTTAGTTTTTTCGTCAAACTTAACCGCATTCGTCAAACTTCAAGAGGGTCATCTGCAAAAATGAAAGGGAAAATGTAAGCACAAGGGGGTCATCTGCCAAAAAAATACTTTGACATTTGACACATGCGATTAAGTTTGACGGAAAAATTAACGGAAGCTAACCCCCCTAAATCACAAGGGGGTTAATTATGTGCTGATATTAAGACCACAAGAGTGTCATCTGCAAAATGTTGTAATCACAGGACAGGGGGTTGAGTGTTATTTACCCTAATTTTAACCAACTCCAAGACAAGGATATGTTTTAAAATGGTATAAGTTTTGAAAAAGTATCCATGATCTCCTCGTTGCAAGTAAGAGTAGTGGAAATAAAGCAATATTCAATAGCCAGCTTTTAAAGCTCGACTCTTCTTCAGCCATAAACAAGAAAACTGTAAATTAGTGAGCAGATGTAGTCAGGTGTTAGAGTTTGTCGCGCATAGTTTATACCTAGTATGATTTACATCTCTTGTGTGATTTGCAAGTTATTGATCGAATAATCTAAGAAAACAAATAATCGAACTAACGGATGGTAAACCGTAATGGAGTTGGGTCAACGGTTTTGCTTCAAATTTCATCTTTATCAATTTATTGATTTTGAGAAGAAAAAAAAATCCTATATCAATTTTTAATATAGGATTTATTTGAGATAGTTCTTCACAACTAATTTTATATTTTTTTAGTAAAAAACCTACTAATTGCAAGCCAAGTTTCATTTGACATAAACCCAAATAATTAGTTTATACCATTTTTACCCTTTTCAAACCATAATAAGGATTTGTTTATCTTATTCATTATTATTAGTACTATTTAATTATTTAAAAAAAATAAAAAAATTGGGTTGGTCGGAACTCTGATTAGCTGACACAACTAATCAACATTAGCAGATATCCGATTATTATTATTTTTTTATCCTTTTTTTTTCCCTCGGTAGCGGTTGTCGAAACTCTAATTAGCTGACTTCAACGTTAGAGGACTTCAGCATTAGCTGACATTCGATTTGTTTTTATTTATTTTTCCGACGGTTGGTAATTGGAGCTCCGACATAGGACTCAACACTATCTGACACCTGTTTTTTTTTTTTTTTTGATAAACTTACTTCAACATCAGTTAACTTGAATTAGTAACTAAATCAGAGCTACGACAACACGCCGTCGAAAAAAAAGTTAGATTTCAGCTGATGCTGAAGTCAACTAATGGAAGTCATCTAATTAGAATTTCGACAACCCATTATCGAAAGAAAAAAAAGTCAGATGTCAGCTAATGATGAAACCATCTAATAAGGTCAGCTAATCCTATCAGCTCCAACGACCTGCCACTAAAAGTAAATAAATAAATAAAAAAGTCAG